GTGTCGCAAATTGGGGGGGGGGGGGGGGTGTGAGGTGACCCAGCCCCCTCCCCCTCCCAAATTTTGCTGCTATTTTGTTTTTCGGTCAGTTCCTTCTTTCCCCTTCCTCAAGTTTTGTTGCTGGGGGGGAGGGTTTTTCAAAAATCAAAAAGGGAGCGTGGTGCTGTAAAGTTTGAGAACCACTGGTCTAGACTAAAAGATACTGTGGTCACTGAACAAATGGTGAAATCATAAGTTATATGGCTGTATTAGGAGATTTTTTTTGTTTGTTTAAAAAAAAAACATGTTGTAAAATCCTGTATCCTTGTAAAAACACAGTGTGTCTCCCCCCCCCCCCTCCCCCCCCGTAATTGTTAAAGCTCACAGTAAATGTTCTTGCTCTCCCCTGTATTCTTATACAAAACCAAGGACAACCTAACTTGCCAATCCTAATAAGTCTTAAATTACAATGTAAGCCTGGGAAATGTGAGGGGGACACATCCTTTTTAAGTCTTCTAAAGAACACAAGTTGAATTTTAAAAGAAGTCTGGTTTCAGGTCACCTTTTAGAACATGAGATGAATGAATATAAGTATTCCAGATTGTAATAAAGTAGGACAGTTCTTCTAAAATGTCTTGCTATGGTACATGTTAATGTAGTCTTGAAAAAAAATCAAACTTCGTTTATATTGAACTCTCAGCATATTTTAGAATATATGGTAATTATTCTTAACTTGGGCCCCGATCTAGCATGTAGCTCAGCTACCGCATTGGACCTGTTGGTTTCAATTTGCATACCAGTTGAACCTCACTTGTCCAAAAGTCTCTGGTTCGGAAACATCCATGATCCAGAATTACTTTAGTTAGCCTGATGTCCACTCTTCATGGGTGTGGTTAAATTTCCCATGGTCCCCTAAAGTTTTTTACAGTCACCAGTCCTGGTTTTGTGTTCTGTGGTGTTATTTAGCTGTAATTTACCCTGAAATGTCCTCTAACAGCACAATAAGCAGTAGAAGTGTTGGTAATGCTGCTAGACAAAATTGACCTCCCATAGTCTGGAAAATTCCCTGGCTTGGGACTGGTCAGGTCATGAGGGTACCAAAACAGAGAAGTTCAACCTGTAGTAGAATTTTTCTGGTATTAACTGCTGCTTACATATACAGTATGGCTACGTCTACACTGGCATGATTTTCCAGAAATGCTTTTAACGGAAAAGTTTTCCATTAAAAGCATTTTCGGAAAAGCGCGTCTAGATTGGCAGGACGCTTTTCTGCAAAAAAGCCCCGCTCGCCATTTTCGGAATTGGGGCTTTTTTGCGGAAAACAAATCTCTGCTGTCTACACTGGCCCTTTTGCGCAAAAGTTTTTCGGAAAAAGACTTTTGCCCGAACAGGAGCAGCATAGTATTTCCGCAAAAGCACTGACAATCTTACATGAGATCATCAGCGCTTTTGTGGAAATTCAAGCGGCCAGTGTAGATAGCTGGCAAGTTTTTCTGCAAAAGCAGATGATTTTGCGGAAAAACTTGCCAGTCTAGACATAGCTTATGTGATCTTATTTTAAATCAGTTTCTGTGGTAGAATTTGGCATTTTATTTACTAGAAGTGCAAGTAGTAAGGATGCCCCACTAGAGACTTGCCTTCATTTATTTTAAGACCTTTCCCTATATTATATCTAATTTTGGATATTTTGTAAGATTGCTTGTTTCAATTTGAATTTCTTAGACACATAACTTAACTAAAATAAGTTGAAACTCTTCATTAAATACATTGCCTCTTTTTTGTGATTAATTGAATATTAGGTCAGCCATATAATGATCCAGCTTTCCCCCCACGACGACAAGAAAGATTTTATTCTAATTCTCCAAATTCAGGAAGACTTTCTGGACCAGCAGAACTACGAAGGTACAACACACCGTCTTTTGATAAAGCAGGTAGGAGTTACTTTAATTTGCTGCCATTATGTGACTGAACGTTTTTCCTAATTCCATAGTAGTATGGTGCTAGATAAACTTTATTTACCAGGGCCCAAATCTATAACATAAGGTTTTTCAGTTCAGAAACTTCTTTCAGCTTTTGTTAGCAGTCTAATCCACAGGATGGATTGTGCTTACTGAATGGTAGCTATTCAGTATTTTCCTGGAATTCATTCAGTGTGTGGTCCTATACCTGTTTCCACCATTCAAACCCTGTACTGAATGCAGCATTAATCCTTTCCTCCTGGGTTTTTGCTATGGGACTGATAAATGTTCCCATGCCAGTCTTGTGAGGTACCATAGAGTTTAACCTAGATGGGATGATACCATCAAGTATCCATTAACTTTTGGTGCCAAACTGACACCTTTAGAGGGCTTGATTTTTTTTTTGAGTACTGTACTTACCATTTTATAGCCCTGTATTTGTTCTAAGCAAGGGCCCAACTGATCCAGTTACAACTGTGAGTGCTTAGTACTCTTGTAAATCAAGGGCTTGAATGTTTCAAGTTGAACATCCAGAAAATGAGGACCACACAGGGGTATGCCTGTGCTGCAGTTTAGGTGAGCCTCTCAGCCTAGATCCAGTTTTATGGTAATGGGGTTTGCACTAGTGCACTAAAAATAACTATAGACTTTACTTTGGGGTTATGGCTTGAACTGCAGTTTGGGCTGTCAAGCTTAAACACCACACTGCTGGTGCTCTGTAACAATTCCCTAAGGTGCTTTAATGTAGTACAGTTTCAGCTGGGTGCTATGTTCAAGGACTGTTTCCACAGAGCAGTTAGTGCACTTCAGAAATCACACCTCAGTAGAACGTATTACTACACCAAATAAATGATCCACAACTCTGTTAAAGCAGACCTATATTTGAGACTTTGAAAAGGGCCTTGATAATCCTAGTGAAAAAATCTTCTCTGTGCTATGGAAGAAATAAATCAAAGTACAAATAGAAGTTCAGTGTTACCTGCTTGGTGGCATAAATAACTGTCTTGGCTCAGGTATTTCTTTTCAATGCTTTTTCGTTCATATAAAAGGTGAAGCTAAAGCCGGATTGTTCAAATCCTGGTGGACATGGTATATTCAGACTTTAGTAAGGCATTTAAGACAGTCTTGCATGACCACCTTATCAATAAATTAGGGAAATACAACCTAGATGGGGCTACTATAAGGCAGGTGGCATCATTGGCTGGATAACCATTCTCAGAGTAGTTACAGCCTCTCTCTGACTTATGAACCGATTACGGACCAAGCAATTGGTCGTAACTTGGTTCATTCGTAAGTCAGACCCCACTGAGTTACATGCAAGCATGCTGTTTGTAAGCACGCATCGCGTTCGTAACTCGGGGTCTTCCATTTACGACAGCTTTGGTTATAACTGCGAACGGTTGTACGCATCGCGTTCGTAACTCAGGGTCTGCCATTTACGACAGCTTTGGTTATAACTGCGAACGGTTGTTAAGTTGACCGTTTGCAACTCGGGGACCATGTTAAGTCGACTGTTTGCAACTCGGGGACCGGCTGTACAATGAAATTGATAGGTCTGAATTCTAAAAATATATGTAAGAAGTATGGGAAAGATATAATGTAATATCGGTAAACCTCTGGTTACAAGAATGAGTTATAATTATCTATTGAAACAATCACTGTTCATTTACAATTAAATTCTTGTGTATGTAATTACAGTCACAATATTATACAATGTAACCTGAAGATGTAACTGTAAAGGTGCCACTGAGTGCTTGATGTCATGCGAAAATCATCTCTTTCAAACCTTTTAAAGTTTGGTCCATCTATTGTTCTGTAACCTACTGGGCAGATTTATCGAAAATCAAAAGTCAATTACAAATCACACACTCACAAAAAAGATTAAGCCACTTCCCCTTGGTCACATCCGTAATAATAAGAAACAGGAAACGTGCCTTAATAGGAGTGTTGTGGACAAGACATGAGAAGTCATTCTTCTACTCTACAACATGAATGATCCCCCTTATGTGGGAACTGCACTGATTAGGCCTTAATTTGAGTAGTGTGTCCATTCTGGGTACCACATTTCAAGAAAGGTGGAGAAATTAGAAAAGAGCAACAAAAATGATTAAAGGTCTAGAAAACGTGATCTATGAGGGAAGACTGAAAGAACTGGACTTCTTTAGTTTAGAAAAGAGAAGACTGAGAAGGGACATGATAGCAGTTTCCAAGTATCTAAAAGGGTATTACAAGGAGGAGGGAGAAAAATTGTTCTCATTGGCTTCTGAGGAGAGGACAAGAGGCAATAGGCTTCAATTACAGCAAGAGAAGTTTAGGTTGGACATCAGGAAAAACTTCCTGCCTATCAAGGGGTACGTCTACACTACCCTCCTAATTCGAACTAGGAGGGTAATGTAGGCATACCGCACTTGCAAATGAAGCCCGGGATTTGAATTTCCTGGGCTTCATTTGCATGAAGCTGGCCGGCGCCATTTTTAAATGCCGGCAGTTCAAACCCCGTGCTGCGCGGCTACACGCGGCACGGAGTAGCTAGTTCAGATTAGGCTTCCTAATCCGAACTAGCTGTACTCCTCGTGGAATGAGGAGTACAGCTAGTTCGGATGAGGAAGCCTAATCCGAACTTGCTACTCCGTGCCGCATGTAGCCGCGCGGCACGGGGTTCGAACTAGCCGGCATTTAAAAATGGCGCCGGCCGGCTTTATTCAAACGTCATTTGCAAGTGCGGTATGCCTACATTACCCTGCTAGTTCGAACTAGGAGGGTAGTGTAGACATACCCAAGGTGGTTAAACACTGGAATAAATTGCCTAGGGGAGTTATGGAATCTCCATCACTGGAGATATTTAAGAGCAGGTTAGACAGACACAGACTTACGTGTGGTGGGGGGAGTGGACCAGCACTAATTTAAAGGGGCTGTGATTTTTTTATTTTGGCTCAACAAAAATTTTCCCGGCTTGGGGTTGCAAATAAAAAAAGGTTGAGCACCGCTGATCTAGATGATGCTTGGTCTTGCCCTGAGAGCAGGGGACTGATCTAGTGTTCTATGAAACAAATTCCCCATATATTTGGTTTTTGTTTTTAATTTATGAAGGGATACATTCTGTTACAATACAATTTATCAGATTCCCATTGGGCAGCTTCCTCTCCAATTTTTTTCGTTTTGTTTGTTCGCACATAAGGGGAATCATTAATGTTAGAACTTTTTTCTTGTGGATATTGTATTTCTCAGTTACAAGTTGCTATTGGCCAAATAAAAAATTGTAGTGCTAACATGACATGGTATCCTCTTCCTAACTGAATATGGGATTGGCCAGTCCCAATACATGATCCTTAATTGCCTCTTAGCACATATACAGCTGCTAGGCAAGAGGTTAGGTATAAGAGGTATATATTTCACAGTATCTGCAGTGTCCCTGTAAGTTTTTTTTTTGTTGTTTTTGCAGTAAATTATCTTGCTCTAGGAAGAAGTGTTGGGAAAAATTATCAGTGCTAATTTACTTGTTACTTTTCAACTCAGATGGGCAAGCATCTCCAGAGAACAGTTCGAGGACAGAGCCAAGTGGAAATGAAACTAAAAACCATCCCAATTTTAGTGTAAGTAATCAAAAAATTAAACATTTTCTATAGCTTTTTGTAGAAGGATATTTTAATCAGATTGTTTTATATTTACGTACTAGATAAAATCAGAACAAAACTGCTGACTATCGTGTGTGTGTGTGTGTGTGTGTGTGTGTGTTATATATACACATACCTACTATAATTTTGTGGGTGCTATGTGTATATGACAGCACAATTGCTGTCCCAGACTGACTAACCATCTGAAAACCTAAAAAGACACAGGATATGAAGGGGATACAATATACAGTGATAAGGCTGGCAGCTTGTGCACACACTTTTTCCAGCTGCATTCATTCTGATGTGTGAAGTACAATAATATCAGGATTATGCAGGAGGCCTGATAAAGGCAGGAAGTGAACCCAGGTTTTCCTAGCTCAGTTCTGGCATGGACCTCTTTCAGAAAGTGAATTTATCCATTTCTGATTTTTGCTACAGAATTTCCTAAATGTGTCTGATCAGTCACTTGTGTCTGAAAGTGAAGCAATTGGAGCAGGGTTTGTTCCCCCGCCTCTCCCTCCAGTAAGAGCCCCTCTGCTGCCAGTGGATCCCAGAGGAGCTTTTATAAGAAGAGGGCCTCCTTTCCCCCCTCCTCCTCCAGGCATGTATGGACCTCGTGAATATTTTCCAAGGGATTTTGCTGGTGTACCATGTCCTCCATTGACAAGTATGTAACTTCTGTTTGCATTTATTTTCTGAACTCACAAACCTCCCCTCCCATGTTGTATGTGTGTAAACTATATTCCTCAGAGAGAGAAGTACAGTAATGACAGGAAGACCTATTTTAGCATTAGTACATTCTTTCTTGTTCTGTACATCCTTTTACTCTTCCAAATCAAGTGAATATGAAGGATGTGATTTCTTCTAAAGTAGAAAATTTTTCATAAAGTTACAGTTAAGACTTAAGTTTAATGAAACTATCCCATTGTGCTTGTACAATATACTACATAATGGGGATGGTAACATGCATGTAAAAACTGGCTCTTCCCCCCTTCTCTATCGCCATCCACTGCTGCCTCTGATACAGAAGCAGTAGTGCAGGGGGAAAGGGGGAAGGGGAGAGCGAGCATGTGGGAAGATAAGTGCATGTAACTACGAAGGTTAACTGATGAGCCTGGGGTTATCAGTTAACCCTTATACTATAAATCCCTACTACATAACTGTAAAATCACTTAAGATTTGTAAGTCTAAACAACTTTTAGAAAAGTACTAGTCCTGTGGGTAAGTCTAAAAACAACTTTTAGAAAAGTACTAGTCCTGTGGTACCTTAGGCTAGGTCTACACCGCAGCGTTATTTCAAAATAACAAAGCCTATGTCTACACTACAAGCTGCTATTTTGACTTAATTTCAAAATAACTATGTCTGTCTACACTACAAGCTGTTACTTTGACTTAATTTCGAAATAATGTCAAGCTAGAGGATTTCTTACTCCAACTCCTGTAACCCACATTTCACAAGTAGTAAGGGAAGTTGAAAGAAGTGTGCTTAGACTTGCTGCTGTGTAGACAGTGCCAAATAGACTTGCTGCTGTGTAGACTGTGCCAAAAGCCGAAACAAGGTATTTCAACTTTAGCCTTCCTGTGTAGGTGTGCCCTTAGAGCAGGCTGCAAGTGAAAGGGCGGTTTCACTTTAAAAACTGAGCCTGGAGGGGAGATGGGAAGCTTTCTGGCCTAAGCTAAGCTACCAGGTCCGGCCCTCCCGATGCTGTGGGGAGCCCCAGGAAGGCTCCACATTTGTCTCATCCCACTCAAAAACATAGCTGTAGGGCGGTTTCACTTTAAAAACTGAGCCTGGAGGGGAGATGGGAAGCTTTAGGAGCTGCTTCTGTCTCCAGCACAATCCCATTGGCCAATTTCTGGCTAGAAACTGGCCAATGGGAGCTGCCTTCAGAGCAGGGGGCTCCTAGTTATTCACAGCGCAGGTGGCTGCAGCCTGGACACAGCAGACAGGCAGGCAGATTCAGAAATGGACTGCTGGCTGGTAAGTTCCCTGGCCAGAGGCTGCCTGGCACCCCAAACCAACTTAATCCCCTGCACGCCCTAGTCCAGTGTCCAGGTCACAACTGTCTCCTTCACCCAAGCTTCCTCCTGCACCCAATCTCCATCCCAGACCCTGTACCTCCTCCATTAATATTATGGAAAAGTATGGACCTTGATCACTTTCCAAATTCTTGAAGTACCCCCTGTGAAAAATGATTGTATTCCCCTGCTTTAGGCTATCAAAAATAAAAGTGCCATAGGGCTACTTGTTTTTGAAAAGTTGTTTTTAAAGTTGCAGACTAACAGGGCTATCTTTCTGAAACTTAAATAGTAAGTCTGTCAAGGAAGGTAGGCCAGATTCTCTAGCCTAGCCCATCATTGCTTGCTAGCAGACATATAGGTTTATATACTTAGGCTAGCTTTTCACTTTTAAAAACATCTTCCTCTTTTCCAATAACAAGCTATTACCCAGCAAAGTGAACTGAGTCGCATGCCAGCTATTCAAACCAATGTAAATGAAACAGTAAATCTTCCATAACAATTCACTCTACACTTATTCGGCTGCTAGCCACCAGTGGAGTATTGTGTCCAGTTGTGAGTGCCACGTTTTAGGAAAGATACGGACAAAAATCCAATGAACAACAACTTAAGGGCTAGAAAACATGACCTATGAGGAAAAATGGAATTGGTTTTTGTTTAGTCTGGGAAAGGTAACAGCTTTCAAGTACCTAAGATTATTAGGAGGAGGAAAAAAAGTAAATTCTCCCTGACCTCTGATAAAGCAATAGACTTAAATTGTAGCAAGGGAGGTTTAGGTTGGACAATAGAAAAAACTTCCACTGAAATAAAGTGTCTAGGGAGGTTGTGGAATCTCCATAATTGGAGAGACTTTTAAGAACAGGAACGCCTGTCAGGATGGGTGGAGATGGTGGTTGGTCCTGCTTTGAGTGCAGGGACCTTTTGAGGGTCCTTCCAGTGTTGTGATTTTCAGGATCCCACATACTCCAAGCACACAATAGAACCTCATCATCAAATGTAGTTGGTGCAATTTAAAATATATGGCCTCAGGGACAGTTGTTTTTGGCACATTTTATACATTCAGATATTAGTTCTATAGGAAGGACAAGTGAGGGCCAGAGATGAATGCAGGACAACTTTATAGGTAGATGTCAGTTTGATCTTCACTTTTGATAACCATTAGGGAATCTTATAAAAAGCTTTAGGGGACACTATTTAATATTTTGTTGAAAGTATAAAAAAGTAACTTATCAGTTTAGTGTCTTCCACCTTTCGTCCCAACCTAACACTACAAATTCCTAGTTCAAGTCTTGGATTTTCTGGCATCATGACCTTTGATTGGTTGTCTTTAAACACTGTTACAAATTAAACTGCTGATTGCCATAGTGAGAAAAGGGTGTTTGTCCAGCACAGCATCTGTATTTTTTGGATAATGAAGCTTTAAAAAAAAAGTTACTCACTAAATACTTTATAAATATTTTTAAACAGTGAGAAATCCATTTCCACTGAGGCCTTTTTCTCAGTATCTACCACCAAGAGCTGGATCTTTCCCACCTCCTCTGCCTTCACTTGAAAACAGAAGTGAGCCTCCTGGGTTAATTCATCAATCTAGTACTCCAGGTACAGAACATCCAGAGCCACCACAAGAAACTTGATGCTGCTGTATGACATTTTGGGAATTAACCTGATGTACTGTTTCTATACCTGTAAAGTCTTCTTACATCTTCAGTTAAGTAACTACTGTTACTTAAGTGATTCTATATAAATACTTTGCTCAAATTGAAGCTGAATAGAATAATTCTCAGGATAGTATTTTGTAAATAAGGATAAATTAAATGGCTCTTTGTACAGTAGACATTTTAAATTAAGTATTTTTAATTTGAGTAACCTATTCTGAATGTATACAAAACACAACTAGAGTAACATTGAACACCGTTCAGCTACTATGTCTCATCTGCACAGGAAAACTCTGCATGCAAAGAACAGTGCTTGCTATAGAAGACAAATGTGAAAATGTTTGAATTAATAAAATGCAGTCACTTTGAAAACCTGTGTGGTATTAATGTTAATCAAACTGTTACATTTCTGTAATAATTACTTCTCTCTCACTTCATTTATCACATCTAACGTGAACTTTCTGCAATACTTCATCACATCTAACGTGAACTTTCTGCAATGTCTGCTTCTAAAGCATCAGTAGTTAAGCTACCTGAAGTCATTAAGCTCAAGTGATTTGTATTTTAGTTTAGAATACTACATTAGACAAGTATAAGTTAGGGATTTAAGTTCTTCAGTTTACCCTTGAAGAAAGAGTAGAAGGGAAGGAGGGGCTTAAACCATTCCTTAGTTCAAATTTGTATCACTTAGTGATCTTATCCCATCCTTAATTAGTCCTGTTACAAACAGTCTAAAAATGGCTTCTGTTCTCATTAAAACCTCATGTCATTCTGGGGATTGCAGTAACAATGACTGGTCTCTAACATTTAGAAAAAGCCTAAATGGCTTTGCTTACTTTGCTGTATTAGATATTTTATATTAATGCATTTAGAAGCCTAAATGGCTTTGTTACTTTGCTGTATTAGATATTTTATATATGTGCATCTTGATGCTTGCCACTAAGGATGCGTCTACACTGCACCTGTAGCTCAAAATAAGATAGCTTTCAGCAGGCATGTTTGTAACCTGGCCATTGTCATATCATGGTTACCATTCCTCCACTTAAGCTACGTCTACACTGTGGAACTATTTTGGGCGACTGCCAGTATCCCTAAAGCAATGAGGGACATTGGAATAATGAGCCCATTATATTGAAATATAATGGGCTCACTCTTAAGATGCGGAATCACTATTTAGGGATACTGGCAGTCGCCCAAAATAGTTCCACAGTGTAGACGTAGCTTAAGTGGAGGAATGGTAACCATGATATGACAATGGCCAGGTTACAAACATGCCTGCTGAAAGCAAGCTGAATTTACTGAGACAGCCTTATTTCTTTTTTGTAATAGGAGTTTTAATATGATGTCTGTATGCCTTCTCCATTTACACTCCATTTTGAAAATTAAAACTGCAGGGAAAATGGGTATACTCCAGGAGGATAGTTAGGCACCTAACATTAGGCACAATTGTGATCCACAACAATCCTAGTTAGTTGCCTCAAGTATCGAATGAACATAGGCTCCTACAACACTAAAGTTTATTTTCTCATCATCCTTTCAAAAGCCTTTAACTAAATTGAGTCTTCCATCTTTTACATATAAAAGATAGCATGTAATGCAGAACTGCTACCACATTCCCTCCATAAACAAAACCAAAAATCTACCAAAAGAGCACTCAGCAAATACATCTTCTCTAAATACCAGTGTGTCCCATTATACCTGTCGTCCTTCCCACTCACATATATTTAGTTCTGACCACTCTCTCCTTCCAGAACTCACTACCAGCTGCAAACCATTTACAACTCAACTTCCCACAACAGGCCACATTTTATATTTTCTCAGCCAATCTTGGCTTCAATGCATTTAAGTGGCTGAATGCTATGAATCTGAAAGTTAACCAAAGAGTTAATTCAGTAATCAATCATTCTGAAAATCAGTTTCTGGTAGTTTACAACAGAAAAGGGACATACCACTTTCAAAAATTCCAAATTTCCTTTTAGAATACAGAATTAATACAGAGTTTGCTTCCCTATTGTTTATAGAAGAATCTTTTGAGCAAGCTTAAGAGTATCACCACCAAAAATTCACATGCCTCCATTTTGTCTTTGCTTTATTTGTCTGATCAGTTTCAGAATTCTAGTTATGGTTATTGATTTTCACTGCAAATTAACTGGTCAACCACATACCTCATTTGGACCTGGAAGTACAAAGGCAGCGGCAGGCAGAAAAAAGCAAATATTTTTCTGGTAGTTTAACAGTACAGTAAAGGGAAAGTTTAATGCAAGGAAGCTTTGTGCTAGTTTACAATGGTTAAAAGCAGCATTGTTTCTTTTCACAATAAAGTTTCAAAGCTGCATTAAGTCAATGTCCGGTTGTAAACGTCTAAAAACAGCCATATGAACAACCTCCATTCCCAACCTGTTAACTGAGATTTTACTCAACAGTAAAACAGAAGCAGGGGGGAGAAGGGAAGAGGCGCGCACTGCCAAAATGAATCTGATTTTATACTCAATGTTAAATTAAAGGCAAAGCACATGGCTTTGTATATGTCAGTTATAGAAATAAGAGTGGGTACAAAAATGTATAATGAAGTGTTTTTTAAAGTTGATATTGCCTCTATTTTATCTATTAAGTTTAAATATTCTTGTTATTTATGTACAAACCTTTAACATGCAGAACTCACAGGTAAGGTCCCACGAGGAAAGAAATCTAAAGGAAAAAGTTCAGGAGGGCTGGCAATTTGAGACCATATTAAAAGGCATAATAGGAAACGATCCCCATGCAAAGGAAAGATAGGAATGATGATAAAAGCCAACATAGCTCCACCAGAAGCTCTTTATTGACCTGAAAAAAAAATCAAAAAAGGAAACATACAAAAAATGGAAGCATTGTCAAATTAATATGAAAGTGTACAAAAAGAATGTTAGGGACAAAATCAAAGGCTAAGGCACAAAAGGAGTTACCCCAGGAAATAGATATAAAAGGCAGTCAGATGGTCTTTAAATGCATTAGGAGTGAGCAATAGACAAAGGAAAGTGTAGATCTTCTACTTAATGGGGAAGGAGAACTAACTAAAGACATCAAGAAAGATGAGGTGCTAAATTCTTATTTTGATTCAATCTTCACTAAAAAGGTTAAGGATAATCTGTTACTCAATTACTACTGATCACTGGGGGAAGGAATACAAGGCAAAACAGGGAAGAACAGGTTAAAGAATATTGAGGTAGGTTATATACATTTAAATCAACAGAGCCAAATGAAGGTACTTATGGAACTAGCTGAAGCAATCTAAGCCATTAACAATTATATCTGAGAACTCTTGGAGAACAGGACGAATTCCAGGAGACCAGAAAAGGGCAAATGTATCTATCATTAAAAATGGGAACAAGGAAGATCCAGGGAATTACAGACCAGGCTGGCTAATGTAAATAACTGGAAAAATACTGGAGCTAATTATTAAACAATCAGTTTGTAAGCACCTGGAGGATAGCAGTGTTATAAGGAATAGTTATCATGCATTTGTCAGGAACAAGTCATGCAAAACCAATTTAATTTTCTTCTTCCTGACAAATGCATGATAACAAGTCATGCAAAACCAATTTAATTTTCTTCTTTAGAAATATTACTGATCTAGTGGATAGGGTTCAGGGAAGCAGGAGATGTGTTTATACCTTGATTTTAGTAAGCCTTTTCACAGAGTTCTGCATTACAATCTCAGGCAAATAAGGGAAATGTGATCTAGATGACTTTAATGTGGGTAATGCCTAACAAAGACTGAAGTCAAAGAGCAATTATTGATGGTTGCTACCAAATTGAGAGTGCATATTTAGTGGGATCCCACAAGGGTCAATCCTGGACCCAATGTTATTCGATATATGCATTAGCAATATGGACAATGGAGTAAAAAGAATTATAAAATGTGCAGAGGATACCAAGCCGAAAGGGACTGTAAGCAAATATGAAATTCAGTACAAAATATTTCACCAAGGAAGCAAAAAATCAAAAGCACCATTACAAAATGGAGAATAAACTAGCTAGGTAGTAGTATAACTATAGAGGATCACAAACTGAATATGAATCATCAACATACTGCAGAGTTGCTAATACATCCCAGAATCATATAACACTCCTGTTAAAAACATCAATTATGTAAGAAAAAGGTGGTAATCACCCTGCTCTACTCAGCACTGGTGAGTTCCCAGCTGCTGTAGTGTGTCCAATTCTTGGTACCACAATTTAAGTAGGATGTGGATAGTGAGGAAAAAGTCCAGGACAGCAAATATAAATAAGTTTAGAAAACCTGATCTATGGAGGAAAGATTGAATTAAAAAAAAAAAAAGCAGACATTTAGTTTTCAGAAAAGAACTGATGGGAAACCTAATAGTCTTCCAATATGTTAAGGGCTATTATAAAAGAGGATGGTCATCCATTGTTCTCCATATCAACATAAGGTAAGAAGTAGTAGCACTTGGTGCAGATTAAGCCAATTACAATTTTGGTTATATATTAGGGAAAATGTTCTAACTATAAGGATAGTTAAGCTGTGGAATAGAATTCGAAGGGAGGTCATGGAGTCTCCGTCTTTGGAAGCTTTTAAAAACAATTTAGACAAATACCAGTCAGGGATGGTCTATGTTTAATTGGTCCTGCCACAACAGAAGGGGCTGGAATTGACTTAGAGGTCCCTTGGGCTTCCTTCTTGTGGAAAACCCTAGGCAAATGAAGTGCAGATTAGCATATTACCATGCTTCATTTGCATAATTACTTAAAAGCCATTTTTGGGCAAAAAAGAGCCGTCTACACAGCGCCTTTTTGTGCAAAACCCCCCTCTTGCGCAAGAGCTGTCTTTCCTGAAAAAATTAGGAAGAGGGGGTTTTTGTGCAAAAAGGCGCTGTGTAGACGGCTCTTTTTTGCCCAAAAATGGCTTTTAAGTAATTATGCAAATGAAACATGACAATATGCTAATCTGTGCTTCATTTGCATAGGCTTTTGCGCAAGAAGGAAGCAGTGTAGACGTAGCCTTGCAGTCCTACATTTCTGATTCTGGTAAGTGAAATAACATGCATTCCTTTGCATTCAGAATCAGAAATGTAAGTGAAATAACATGCATTCCTTTGCATTAGTCAAGAAAATAAACTACTCTGCGGTTCTAGGTCATTTTTGCCCTCAAACTGGGAAATCAGTGAACAGCTAACCAAAGGAACAGTTTAGAAAGAAAAACAATATTTGCACTAGCTTTAAGAAAGAACAAAACTGATGCAGAATAGTACCTGTCTCTAAGGCTTACAATCTAATTGCACAAAACACTGGATATTAACATTGTTGGGGACTTATTTTGTTAAGCAAAGGAACATTTATCCTTTTCATTAAGTTCTTCTTGATCTGAGCTTCCT